AAATAAAATGAAAGGCATCAGCAGAAGAAAAAATTCTTATGGTATCTGCTCCTATTTACAAAAAATATTTAATAATTTCAAACAATAATAAAACAAATAATAAAACAAAACTAAAAATTCAACCTCTTAAAGAGTAACTCAAATACCAATTAAACAATTTAGTAAGTTAGTTTTTTTCTTGTTCTGTTTAGTTTAGTCTCTCTTAGGTTAACTTAGTCTAGTTCAGTAGTTTATCTTATCTTCAGACATGCTGTCAGCAGAGAAACATCAGGGTGTGTCCAAAGGTAACAACTCTTCTGTCCAATCACACTTTCTTTCTCAGCAGTGAAGCTTCTTTGGTCAAACGCCGTTTATTTAAAAATCTGAGAAACATTCCTACAAAGGTGAATTGTAGATTACAGACACTGTCCATGATTAATTACTTAAAAAGCACAATTTGATTTAAAAGATATAGCATTTTTTATTTATTTACATCCTCATCTTGTCTCTCTGCCCAAGCCTGCTGTGAACCAACCTGCACTGTACAAGACCTGCAGAGCTTCAAGGAATTAAAAGTCTGGTCTCACTTAAGTTAAACTGATTACATGCGGAATGTGGAACAAAAAGGTTTTATGTTAAGTCCAGAAATAACAATCTGTTGATTCACTTAGTTTTTTTTTTTTGTTACATGTACTGACAAAAACAGATGAACTAAATATTAACAGAACAAATAAAAAAAGTTTGTATTTATCACAAAGAGAAAATAGTCATTTTTATGACTCTAAATTAAATTCAAAAATAATTTGCAGGTTTTTGAAGAAACTTGCTCAGTGAAGGAATTATGGCATCAACCATAACATTGCTGACTATATGACACAAAGTAACAACACACAAATACACACTCATAAGCACGCACTTGCAATGCCCACACAGCCCCATGCATCAGTTAATGAGTGTAACTCTACCTACTTCTAGTTACTGTACCAAGCCCCTGGTTTCAGAAGGGAGTGGTCTACTCCCAGTGGAGAGATGTATCCAGGACAGGTCATAAGATCTGCAGTCTGCAGTGGCCCCCCTGGGGACACACAGAACTGGGGCCACATTGTTCCCCAGCATCATTGTGCTCAACGGTTTCCCATGGATCAAATGTTGCAGACTTCAAACCCAGAGGTCTCAGCGCCCTCGTAGCTGCTTTATGAGCACGATGGGAGACGAAGTCGTTCACACACAGTTTCTCACTGATCTGAATGAGGCCACGCTGGACGCAGTCCCAGTGGCTCATCGTCTGGATACAGAGAGGGGGGATCGTGGAAATGATGGTGAGGAGGGGTAGGAAAGGAGATGCTCAAATTGGAAGACAAGGGGGGAAGTCAATCAACAACAAAACAGCCAGTAAACGGGCACACCCAAAAGCAGAAAGCAAACTTCACCTGCCTGTAAAACTTATGGAATTCTTATTTTGTAAAACAAGTAAGATTAGCAAACGAGCAAATACATCTGTCGTTTTGTAAGTGAAATGTTAAACTAAAGTTTGGGCTTAAAATAAATAGTTAATTTGTTTTGTGATCATGTGACAAAATAGGGAAAAGTTATGTTAATATCGTGCTTTTTTAACTTTATGGCAATTTGTCATATGATAAAATAAGAAAAATGTCACGTTGTTATCGATCATCAGAAGGAGAAGCAAGTGACAACCAAAAATAAAGTTTGTGGGACAAGTGTACAGCTGTTCATGTCTGTAAGACGGTGGGTGTCCTGTCTACAACAGTTGCTCTCGCCCCATCTTCTGCTGGGGTTTGGTAAAGGGCTCCCTCAGAAGAGTGGCAGTAATGTGACACGTTCCAACCATAAAACAGCCAAAAACATGATGACATTGATTAGTTGCTGTTACTTTTACACAGAGGGTACATTTCATATCATATGTGAAAGCCTCGAGCTTGTGTTCAAAGTTTGAGGTTTCTCCCAGTGACTTGAACCCAGTGGAGCCGAGGGGAGTGTCCAAAAAATTTGATTTGAGGTTCTGAATGATTTTAACAAGATAGCCTTTTTTATAGTAAACAACTGTCTGATAAAGCCCAGCCCTATGCAATCAAGTAACAATTACAAGTGAAGACAACTGCACAAAGAAAGAACTGAGCATCTGATATGACTAAAGCTCATTTTTGATTTGTTCAAACTGACTTAAAAAACAAACTGGCCATTTGTTTAACTTGTGCAGGACCCCATTTTTTTTCTTCTAGTGAATGAGTATTAGATTGTGTAATGAATGAATAAAGAAAAAAGATGATGTCATGAAAACCATTCTAATATTTATAAATGCGTAACTTCCTTTGACAGAAAAACATGTGCAGTTTTTTCAGTATTTGCAGTTGTGGATATACAAAATACAAATTATCACTGATGCCACCTGTCAGACTTCTTGATAACCTATGTAAAATGTAGATTAAAAACAAAATCACTGTCTCCCCCTGCTGGTAAAAAAAAATGCACTGGATAAAATTACATTTATTGTCATTATTTTCACAATTTATCTGACTTCAAACTAATAAAAATTGATTATTTTTCACCTGAAAAAACAGAACCTGTTAAATTTTTCTATGCAATACACCAAAAGAAAATGTAGTTGTTTCTATGATGATATCTTACAAAATGAAACAATTTAAGTGACTTTATTTGGCTTCAGTAAGGATTTTCTTAGTTAGAACACAAGAACATATTCTGTGGACTGTGGTCATGGACCTAGTTTCTTGAGTCTATCTGAGGCAATTGAATAAGACTGCATGGTGACAGATGGCTTCACTAAGCACCTGTCAATGGGTTTTATCTGGGCTGAACTGTTCGGATCAGGACAATCAGCCTTGCAAATCTGCAAGAAGACAAACGTAAATCAGCAGAGAAACACAGAGGATTGATGTGGTGTCAAAAGGACAATATAAACACAGAGATGGACCATTCCTCCTGAAACTTTATTTGGATTTATTAAACCTTAACAGCGTCATGGAGCACATGGTTCTGACAGACAATTTTCCAGAGGACTGGCCAGAAATTCTGGACATTTTTGGGTCAGTTTGGATGGACGGACTGGGTCGACCCAGACCAGCTGATGACTGGACTTTTTGTCTAAACTTGGTGGAACATCTGTTCCTGGATCTGTGCTCTCATATGGATTTCCTGCTGGAGCACCCTGCAGTGTGCTTTAACATTCTGGGCCCACTGGGTGCTGATGACCCATATGCGTGGCTTCTCCTTCACACCTGAAATGGACTAAGGATGGTTGTTTGTCTGTGCACCACGCCCCCCCACTATTTTTTTCTATTTTTTTTAGCTTCTTTGAACCATGCTAGCTCAAAGGCATTTTGACCATGAAGTAAACTTTTTCAAAACAAAAGGAACGCAGCTGTGAATGGCTCTTTACACAGCTATTATGGAACATATTTGTTCTTTCATAACAATTTGTATTGATTTACCTTTGTTTTGTGTCATACTTTGCTGGAATAAATATTCACAATGCTTCAGGGCTGCAACAACTTGCTTCCGTCTTCAAACCCTTCTTGTCATTAAGGCTGCTGCCAGTTGATTYTTCTCATCACTTATTTTGCATTCATTTTGTGCTCTGACGCTTCAGAATTTTGATAGTTCTATGTCTTTTGACAGCCATTGTAAAATTTTATTTTGTAACTGTTTTTATCATTTAAGGAACATTTCAAAGCTGAGATCTTTTGTGTCACAGAAGGAACTAGAGATGGTTGTTCACRCTTTTATTTCTTCTCGTTCAGATTACTGCAACAGTCTTTTTACATGTCTAAACAAATCCTCCTTGACTCGGCTTCAGTCTGTGCAGAACGCTGCAGCGAGGTTATTAACAAAGACCCACAGGACTCCTCTCTGCACTGGCTCCCTGTGCATTTGAGGGGTCATTTTAAAATTTTAGTTTTAACTTTCAGAGCACTTCATGGT